CATGTGAACACAAAAGTCTGCGAACACATTGTCCTTCCTTGCTTCCTCTCACCACTGGTGCACCTGCCTTGGGGGTCTGCTGGTGCAGGGATCTCGGCGTGGCTGTGGCCTCACTGGGTCAGTTCACTTTTCACTTCTGAGTGCTCTCGTCCCTCTGCGGAGTTCTGAGCAACTCCTGAGTGAGCCTGCTTAGATCACACGCAGTGTTTCCTAAAAGCTTCTACTAGCTGCCAGTGACGTGGCCCCCTTCGGCTGGCCCCCTGCAGGATCCTTCTCTGGAATCCTTCCTTCTGTGCCCAGGCTGGTGCTGGGGGGGGGGGGGGGTAGCACTAATCCTCTTCTCAGGCTTGTGACAAACTGTAATCTGTTGGGCATCCTAAATGTCTTTCAAAAGCACTCTCGTGTAGGAATTAATCAGGAAAAACACGAAGGCAGTCCTGGTGTTCAAAGAGATCAAGGGAATAGCCAGAGAGAGCGCCTTCTTGTTGTTAATTTCTTTAACCTCAAGCTGCCAGCTACATATGAAACTATTCAGACACACTGAATACTGCTAGGTCCAACTGAATTTGATTGTGAGTCTCTAATTTGATTCAATTAGCTGAAAGATTTTCGGAATCCTTGCTGGATGTGTTATTGAAATTAAAAGAATAAATCTGTACCTACATGTGGAAAGTTTCCATGGCAAATCGACAACTAGAAAACACCTTTTGTAATTAAAAGAGTATTTGCTCCTATGAAGAGCTCAGAGATTAAATGAGGTGTAATTACAATCCAAGAACATTTGTTTGCGCATTATGAAATGTTTTAAGGGTTGTCTATTAAGGAAGGACGTTTTAGTTTTATCCTTCTGAAATTTGTCTTCAATGTATAATCTACACTCATCAGATACTGGATGAGGTGCAAACACTGGATAGAGGTATTTATTTTGGTTTACATCAAATTTACGGCAATGGCTTTCAAACATGTTTGGCATTAGGCTTTTAGGCATTTAGCCACTGTACTTTTTAACTTAAAATGTATATTTCTTCTCTTCAAAAAGCACCTCACACTCTTGAGGGCGGGGTAAACTGTGCCTAGCCCTCTCCATACTGCCCCCCCACCCCCACACCAGGTCCACAGTGTCTGGAGAAGAAGAAGGGCTTGACAAATATTTGTTGATAACTAGAATGATGCTGAGTGTCCACTCTCCGGGTCACGGCCTCTTCAGCACGTGGCACTGGATTTTGAACGCATCAAAGTTGTGAACATTTTGAGAAATGAATCATCCTCGTTTGAGCAAGCTTCTTAAGGCTTTCCGTTTAAATTTAGAGCAAATGTTCTCAGGGTTACCACGTTCCCATCAACTTCCGGGACAAAGGCATCAAAAACAAAGACCAGAAGAGGGGGCATGTGCAATTGAAGTCAACACAATTCACTTACTTGGTGAAAGGCCCAGAGCCGGGTGCCCTAGGTGACGACGACAAGCGGAGGTCAGAGTTACTGAGCGCTTACTGTGTGCTCAACGCTGTCGGTACGGTCGGGAGGGCTTTCCACGCACCGACTCCACAGTACCATGGCTAACTGAGTGCTGCCACACGAGGCCTTACCCTCTGGACAGATTTCCTCTTTTCTTCCCTTTGTTCCCTGTGCACTCCTGCCCCACCCCTCCTGCCAACCTGGAGGAAGGAGGAGGAAGCAGCAGCAATAGATATGGCTTTTAAAGTGGGGCTTAATTCCAGTAAAAGGCAGACGATGCAGCAGTAAATTTGAATGTTTATCAGAAAGCATCTTCACAGGCTTTGGAGCCGGATGCCAATCTTCTTGAATGAACGCTTCAATAAATCTGCCTTGATTTTCAAATTTATTAACAAAACTCATTTTCATTTTTATCAGCATCTTAGTTTTGCTCCAGCAGCTCTGTTTCCCCTTTAGGAGGCAACTGATAAGGAGGAACAGTGACCTGCCTGCCCAGCATGATATGGCAGTTATGGCAGGACTGGGGAACCCTCGCCAACGACACGTCGTAAGTTATTACAGGGGGTAAAAAGCAAAAGTACAATGAAATATTCTGCACAACCAGAAGAGCAGAGATATGCCAAAGACACCGATTTAGAAAAAAAAAAATTAAACCCAAGATATAAGCCCAAACATAATAAATTGTATCCTTTCTAGAAACCAAGGAAAGTCAATTCTCTCCGTCTCCCCTTCAGAAATAAAATCTGGGCAGGTTGGTGTGGGCTCCAGGAGGAGGTGAGGAGCAGAGAGGTCCTGGTGCATCGGCCTCACGCAACCCGGCAGGTGAGCCTCTCCACGGTCCTCTTGGACAGGAGGAGGCTCCACGAAGGAAGCCCTCCTCTGGAATTTCCAAGAAGTCTTGGGTCACCCACCGCCCAGGAGGTTGGAGGCAGAAGCTCCCTGTTTCGGCAGAAAGCAAAAGGGCAAGGGATTCTTTAAAGGATAGAAAGATTTACTGCTAGGTCAGCCCTTAGCAACTTCCATCAGTGAATTGAGCCCTTTGAGACACCTGCTCCTGGGTGACTGACAGATGCAAATTTGCACCTTCCATGAATGCAGAGAGTCTCGGATGACACCACTGAAAGGTGTGTTTTCCTGCAGCTCCTGGGCCTGGATCCCTCCCCTCCCAGCAGCAGTTTGCAGGGATCCTGTCTGAAGCTTGGTCAAAAGACCAGATGGGAATTCTTGCCGTCAGGCTGTGTCCCTGAATATGCTGGGCTGAAGGGAAAACAGCTGCTAGCCTTTCGGCAGGATCTGCGGGGCCCAGAGGAATAAAAAAGGTTAGTTGCTTTCTTTTTCCTCTAATCAGTCCTGCGCTTTCCCCATAAACCACACGCCGCGTCCTCTGGTCCATCTCATTCTGAGAAGCACGAAAAAGACTTTGGACTCCTGGGGACCTGGCATCTGAACTCCAGTTTTTCCATCTCTCCCACCAGCACTCGTATAGATCATGCTCTGTGTTGTGTGCATTCGTGGCGCTGGCCAAGGAAAAGCCCGGAGAACTGAAAGTTCAGGTCCTGCTTCAGGCTCTTATTAGATGCCTGGGGGAAAACACCAACAGAGATCTAGCTAGAAGGCTCTTCAGGGAAGCTGCCAGAGAGACTCGCGCATCTCAGCCTAGGGAAGGGAGCTTTGAATTCTTCTGCAGCGGAACTGTGGGTCTACGCTTGCTGTCACGGTCTAGAAGACTTCCCACTGGAGCCTACTGCCTGAGTCATTATTATTCTTGTCCTATTCTGAGCAAACTATGAAATGATACACATTCCTCATTTGGGAAGTTGACAACTTGTTTAAAAAGAAATGTCACCCCAAAATTAAAAAAAAAAAGCCACGGGTTCAAATAAGAATTTCTGATTGATTGCTTTTCTTCTACACCTACCGTATAAGAATGTTAAAGATCCAAGTTTCATGTAAACTTGCCCCTCATCTAGAAACTTCAAAAATGATGAAGGCTTTATTGAGAAAAGAAAATTATTTATTTATTTACCAGCAGAGCTCATTAAATGTAAGAAGTTCACACTAAAACTTGCTCTTTGCTTTTGATATACGCAGGCTTGCGGGACAGAAATTGCCGTCCTCAAATAAATAAGTCCAAGCCCAATAATCAGTCCTGAGAAATCTCATTTCCACTTAACAAGAGACGTACACTGACACATAAATGCTAGGTTCATTTTTCAGACAAAAGATACATGGCTTCAAAAACTAGTGGCACGGTGCCTTCTTTTCTGCTAAGCTTCTGAAAGATTTAAATGAGTGGCATTTGAGGATGAAAGGGAAATTTTCTAAGGCAGTGGTCCTGAAAGTTTAGCGCGCCTCAGAATTCCCTGGAGAATTTAAATCGCAGATTTCTGGATCTCACATCCCCACCCCTGCCTCCTAGAGTTCCTGATTCCTTGGGGATGGAGCAGGGTCCAAGAATTTACATTTCTAACAAATTCCTCGGAGGTGCCTGATGGTGCTGGACTGGGGACCACACTTGAAAAAACCACTGCGCTAGGGAAATTGAACTCCCTCCTACGTATGCCTAAAAAAAAGGATTTTCTGGTGATCATCATTCATGGCCCTGGCCCTCACTGAACCCCGGAGAAAGGGAGCACTCTGACCACTTTGCAATCTTGATGACCTGAGTATTGGAGTCTTGGTTTTGGCTTCTACTGACACACTAGCAAAGATCCTCTGTTCCTGGCCATTTGATTCTGTTAAAGAGCCTGAGGTGGGTGAGTATTTTATTCACTGGTACGTTGAAGGAGACAAGTCGAATCCATGCTATTCCTCTGATTTTCTTTTTTTGGAAATGGTGGCAGTTGTGGTCCTTCCCAGGCCCTTGAGACAACACGCTTCCCCTCGGACGAGCAAGCAATCTCCCTTGGTGTCTCCCATATCTGATTAAGCATCTTTCTTGCCTGTAATGCCAAGAGATTTGCATCTAATTCGGGGAGAGAGTTTTCAATCAGCATCTGAGTGTAGGCGGAGCACGAAAAGCAAGGTTCTCTCGAAGCTTCTCTCCTTTTTCCAACTCAGGAGTGATGCCCCTTTCTTGGTACCACATGAGGCCACCTCTTTGATTACAGGTTAGGGAACGTTTATTGGAAAAATGTCTAATTCTCCAGCACATTGGCTCAGAGGCTAGAAAGCTTCTTTAGGGATTAAACAATTCCCATGTAAGAAGCACACAGACTGAGACCAAATTTTATCTGTATCTCAGCATCAGCGGTGGCTGCCACCCTCTGGAAAAGGATTTTTATGGGAATAGGCAAATATCCCTGAAGAAAGTGCAACAGCCCCAGATATATGGACACAGAAACAAGTGGACCAATTTAAATCACCGTGTTCCTAAGAAGGAGTTTAAAGTTCTATTAATAAAAGGCAGAGTCACTCAAAGATGAAACTTTAGTATAACTCAAATAAAAGTGAGTTATGCGGCCATTTCCTAGTACATACGCCCCATGTGAGATCTGGAAGATCGTTAGGATGCCTCACAGGTGTGTGGCAGTCACTAGCCTTACCTGATTCATCGACTCTCATTTTTTTAGTCGGGCTGTCACAATTCTCATCATCTGACATTTCCATTTCTTCTTCGCGGCGGATACCCATAAGCTGCTCGCTTTGAGCGTTCCGGAGCTCCTGAAAGTAGAATATATGAGGATGTTAGAGTCACGCACACATGTCAACCTACCTTTTCTCAATGGTCTTTTGGTGTACTGGGATGCCCATATGAACGCTTAGAATCTGAAGTTTTTACACCTCCCAACCACTGCCCTGCGTCATCTAGAATGAAGGTCTGAGCGTATGGGGAGCGGAAAGATCCAGGGATAAAGACTAGTCAAGGGGCCTTCAGCAAATTATTTAATCTCTTGAGTCTCAATTTCCTCATCTGCCAAAAAAGGGGATGATAACATCACCTAGGAGGATTCCACAGAAATGCCTATCGTCATGACTGGCACAGCGGTGGCTCAGAGCTAACGATAAGATACATGCACGGTGGCATTTATAAAAGGCCTGGTCGACCACTGACACACCGTGTCAATTCATGAATGTTTCCTCATCTCTCTTGACCTTGATTTACTTATTGGAATTCTGTTGATGATAATAGTTTTGAGGAGGAAATAAGTGAATGCCTGTAAAGCTCCTTACCGTCATGCCAAACGCTTGGTTTGCTAAGTTGATAATGTGGACAACTACTACCCTTCATGCAAAACGGTGCCCTGCATGTGTGTATGTGCCCGTGTGTGATCACACACTCACTACTCAGGTATCCAAATGGCACATTTCAAAAGATGCTGAAGGACCAATGAAAACAGATACCTTTTCGGCGTTTCACATTATCATGTAGGGGTTTAGTGTTTCTGTTGTGTTGGTTGTTTTGACATCACTTAAAGATCTTAGGATCACGTCTTACTTTCTCTACTTACTAGAGGAGTGACTGCAGTCAAAGGCATTTACTTTCTTTGAGTCTTTGTCTCCTCACATTTTATAAAACGGGCAACAGTAATACAAGGCTGCTTGAATGCAAGAGTATATGTGAAAGCACACCGTAAAAAGGAAAGAATCAAAACACATTTCTGATGTGTTTTCAGGCACTACCTTGCCTAGAAGTCAGGACACTACAATTGTTTATGGTAAGTTATTCTATTATTTTGTACTAAGCTGAATAGCCTATGTTCGTGAATCCCTACCAATTCTATTCTCTTACATGTACTGTCCTCAAAACAACAACAATGAAATGACTGCATTATTCTTTCCCCCCCATTGATATTGAAGTCTCTAAATAAAAACCACATAGTTAAGATAGTTTTGCTTTATCATGAACCTATGAATAACAATAAAAATAAATTATAACACCTAATGTATTAATGGCACGATTTTAAACAAATTTCTAGTGCCCATTTGATGGATGTGATATTTTATTGTGTGATAGGTTCTCTGATTTCTCCTCTCCTCCTTAGCTCACAGATTGTAACTTTGGTAGTAGGGCGGAAAAAAAGGAAATTATTTACCGCTAACAGTATTTGCATGGTCAGCTCTGAGCCCTGGGAATCACCACTGCAGAGGACAGGGAAACGGGAGGGGGCAGAGCCTCAAGGTTCCTGGGAAAGGGATACCCATCACAGGGAGTCTTGAGAAGTCACCGGGGTGATGGGCAATGCCTCCTCACTTGGCCATGACCCCCAGTAGAAAGAGGCACCAATTCCACCTTAAATAACACCAGTGGGTCTTGGAGGCATATGTCACATGTGATTAGTGGGGAAGTGTTTAGGTTGTGTACAGCTAATTTTTCCGCGGACAAAGAACCTGGCTCCCAAAGAGGTGGTTTGAAAATACTTGAAACAAGGAAAAGTCAGGTGGAAAGAATAAATGAGGCCGAAATGCCTGTGGTTTAGTCCCTACAATTAATGACAGATTGTCATACTGTAGCGGTTCTTGTGGGGAAGGGTGTTGGCAAGAAAAAAAAAATTGGGGAGGGGAAAAAAAAACCGGAGGGTGTTTCCACAGGGTGCCTCTGGTTCAGCAGTAAATCACTAGTGCACTCTCATAAATCTGTAAAGGTGTTGCAGATAATTAACAGATGCTGTACATGGGAACGCAGAAAAAATCAAGCCAATTATCAAGCTTCTACGCAACAGAGAAATCATCCACAATGTTAAATTACCAGCTGGTATTTAATCAATTAAGCGACATGGAGGGGAGAAAATCAAAGGTAATTTAGAATTCTATTTCCTAGTATATCAAAAGAGGTGGGAGGAGTGGCAGGGAGGCGCAAAGCCCCTCTGCGGGAGCACCTTTCAGGACTGCGTGCATCCATGTCTGCCTCTCCGTGTGTACCGAGCGAAGCAAGCGGTCTTCCTTGGAACAAAGCTGGAAGTCTTTGTGTGCCCTGCTCAGCAGCAGGACCATCAGGGAGGCAGGGCTGGGGGTGGGGGTGGGCAGGGGGAGCAGGCACGTGGGAAGCGTGATTTGGATCAATAACCGATATTTGCTAACACTCACGTAGTAATGACAGCCTTTTCATGCCCAGATTATTTAGCATCATGTTGCTTGCCTTTCCCTTAACGTTTCTGTTAATCATGCATGGTTTTTATGTGAAGGAAAAGAATGTACACAGATGTATATGTGAACAATTCACAGACTAGTCACTCCCAAATCTGAATCATAGTTTATGGATTTCAATTTGTGTTTGCATAGCCCTCAATCTGTCTGTTTCATCACAAACGAGGACTCTCTCCTCCCGAAAATCAGCCTTGACTCAGCTCTCGATTCAGTGTCTGGACGAGCAGCAGGTAAGCGCCCTTTGTTTTTCTGGCTCCTGAAAAATTAAAGAGAAAGCCCACTTCCTCCTTACTCAAAATCCTGAACAGAGGAACGGAACTACATCAGTCACCAGCCACCTTCTTATGTCTTTGTGAAGAAAACAAAAAATGGCCTTCTTAACAATAAATTGCACCAGCATGTTAAGTGTCCCATTATTGTGAAGTCATTGAGGATTGGCCATAATAACAGTGATAATAAAGAATTCATTTGGTATTCATGTGGATGTTAGATCTCGTGCCATTGGTATTTAGCTGTAATTTAGCATTAGTTAATGGGCACTTAAAATGCTACCCAAATGATTGATATTATAGTGCTTGGTGGTTCCTCAAACTCTACATAAAACACTTATTTTACAAGTGTGAGCCCAAATCGTTGCATAAACAAACCTTACCTTCTAGAAGTTTTGAGATTTTGAAAGAGGGGAGTATCATTTAGAGAACTTTAGTACTAACATGCTAGTGATAGAGAGGCATCCAAATGGAAAACATTCTCTCGTTAAAAAAAGAAGCAGCAGCAGAAGAAGCAAAGATAGCATACTTACTTTTAAATTACAGGTTCAAAGCGTACGCTACACTGTGGAGTTAAAAAGAACAGCTGGACGACCAATGACTAATGACACATTCTGATCCTTCTAGGTGGTGAGAAAGGTCAAGTTCTGGCCTCTTTCCTTGGGGTAGATACTCACACGTCAAGCACTGATGCGGAAGGGTGGACCTGGCTAGCCTAGACATTCACTCCCCTGGGGAAAGGTGCCCTGGGGAGACTGGCTATATAATTGGCCGGCCAGCATAGGGCACTAAGGCATCGTTTACAAAGAGAAGGCACAGAAGAAAGGCATGCTAGCCATTTCTAGCCCAAAGAGCAAACCATCACCATCAGTTGCAGAACACTGAAAAAAAAAAAACAACCCTCTGTATTTATTTAAAAGCTAGGCTTCTGTTTTACATTACACCTTTCTTCAGAATACGCAAGCAACACGTCTTGGCTTATTTCCGAGCTCTTTGCTATCAATGGGAGAGATGCCTTTCTTCCTTTGCAGGGGGAGAAAAGCACTCTGTTTTCTAAGCATTAAGTCAGCTGCTTTTCTGGATAAGGCGCACATCTGAGCTGGATTTAGAGCTGACAATGCGACAGGACAATGGCAGGACAGCTGCCCGCTATAACAAAAACCGAAATGGCTGTAGCCACACTATTCTCTGCCAATCCAGCTGTGTGATGGTGGTTAAAAAGTAATAATAAAATCACCAACCTCAGAATGCTTTCGCCAAATGTCTATGTTCTTGCGCTGAGCTTTCGAGAAATGGTCCCAAGCTTTTTGTCTGGTAGAAGCGTTGAAAACGGCCACAATCTGCTCAACTTTGGTGAACAAGGAAGTCAAACAAGACAAGTAATTTATGTTGTGATCACTATAGGGAAGCAAAGCAAAGACACTAGGAGTCTATGGATGATGTCATAGTAGAAATAACATCATCGATATCCATCCAATTTGTGCCTTTTTGTACTTACATTTTAGCAAGGCTGGGGATGTCTCCCTTCAAGTCTGTCTCCACAACTTTAGGTTAAAACAAATTCTAAAATACAACTGGGTAGAGCTCACGGGCATCTGCTTCCAAGATTCTGCAGCTTTCATTTAAAACCGTGACTTGGTATGTCTACATACCTAGATCTATGGATATAGATCTGGTGTTGGCATAGAGATGCCTGGGTTGGGGGCTTAGAAGTGAAGCCGGGGCGAGGCGGCTGAATGAGGGAGAGCCACACATACATCTTTTTCTCTTTTGGCTCCATCTCAAGGACTCAACTGCAGTCCTCTGAAGACATTACCGGGTCCAAGTTCCAAGCTGGGACAACGAATAGGTGTTTCATATCACCCCTCAATGTCAAGGGCCATTTTTACTCCTTGGCTCCTTTCTCCCCTCTACCCACCCCCCCTCCCCACCCTGCACCCTCTGCAGCCAGCCCTCCAGCCCTCTGGCAGGGAACAGGAGCAATCCTCTCCACTTCAAGACAGACCAAGGCTCACCCGACCAGCCGCACAGGCATGCAGATCTCATTTCAACACGGCCTGACGTCCTGCTCCCTAGTAGTTCATCAAGACCACATACCATTCTGTTCTGCCATTTTCACTTTCCTAAGGCTGCCCTCCCACACCCCTTGAAGTTCTAACTCTCTCACTTTGGCTTCATTTAGCATTTTTTTTGGTTCTCAGGCAAAGTGCTATTGGAATGATAAACGTGGGGGGCCCTGAACAAAGCTAGATAGCTATTAGGGGTGGGGCCAACCAACTGCAGATCCAATCTTTCTTAAACAGTTATCGATCTAGTAAGCATGGGATTAAGGAAGTTATAGCACTGAATTAACCATATGATTAAACCTGAATTTCTAAATATTTAGTTAGGAAGGCCCAGTTAGAATTACCTTCTCATGGATGCTAAAACTCTTAACATAAATCCTTCTTAAGTGATTCCCAAGGCTCTATTATAAAAAAAAAGGGCACCAAAGCTCTTCCAAATCTTCCAGGTGTCCAAAGTATGGCAAAGAGTAATGGAATAATCTCCACAGAACAACACCTGGTGCCACAACTTAAACAATTGTCACACAGAATAAGTAAGTATATGATGGAGCAGAGAAAGAAGGTAGATGCTGTTCACTTACCACATTGTCAATATCTTCCAACGCTCATGAGCAACCACTTCCCAATCAATGGGTAATTTTCACAGAGGCTTTTATGTTCCCCCTTTTCTCTCTTGAGAGAATCCCAACTCCAAATCTCCTTCTTTATCAAATTTTATCATCACGTCACATGATGAACTTGGTGCACTCAACTTTACCAGGAGGAGGTGCTATCACCTTAGCTCACGTTCTCCAGGGGCGCATGCGGCTCCCTTCCCCGACCTCGTCTGGAGGAAGTCACGCTGCCAGACTAGCCACACTGTGCTGCTCTAGGTGCTGACTTTCACCTGACCGCCACCTCCCCGGGCTCTGCTTGGCTCCACTGCAGCATGGCAGGTGGAGAGGAGCTGGTTCAGCCTCACTGCCTGGGCTTCCTGGTGTTTTGTTTGCATGTGGGCTGAGGTCGTGGGGGAATTCCAGCTTCCTTTTGCTTGGGCAACACAGAGTAGTCAGCCCAATCTGCAGTGGTGAAATGCACCGTCAGGCGAGATTTCAGGGGTGGGAATCATGGGACTGTTAAAAGAGTATATGACCCCACAGAGTAGAGCTGTTTAAGAGGCATCATTTGGAGGAGTGAGAACAGAGGGGCACCTGGGTGGCTCGGTCGATTGAGCATCCGACTCTTGATTTCAGCCCAGGTCATGATCCCAGGGCCATGGGATCGAGCCCCACATCGGGCTCCACAATGAACGTGGAGCCTGCTTAGGATTCTTTCTCTGCCCCTCCCTGTGCTTGCACTCTCTCTCTAAATAAATAAACATGAAAGAAAGAAAGAAAGAAAGAAAGAAAGAAAGAAAGAAAGAAAGAA